ACCCCCCCAGGGACCCCAAACACCCCCCCAGGGACCCCAAACACCCCCCCAGGGACCCCAAATGCCCTCTCAGCTCACCCTGTCGGCGGACTGGGCGGCCCCGAAGAAGATGGGCCCGAAGGCGAGCCACACCACGCAGGTGGTGTACATGGCGAAGCCGATGGGCTTGGCCTCGTTGAAGGTCTCGGGGACGCCGCGGGCCTTGACGGCGTACACGGTGCAGGTGAGCATGAGCAGCAGCGCGTAGGCCAGGCAGGCCAGCGTGGCCCCCTCGGCCATGTCGCAGCGCAGGACCCCCCGCGCCGCCTCGGGGTCGGGGGTCCGGCCCATCTCGTAGTCGATGAGGGCGTGGGGCGGCCGCACCAGCAGCCACGTGGCCGCGGCCACCAGCTGGAGGCCGCTGAGGGTGAAGGTGATCACCAGCTGGGACGTGGGGCTGATGAACCGCGGCGGCGTCACCGAGCGCTTACCTGGGGGGCACGCGGGGTCAGGGGGCACCCGGGACACCTGGGCACCCCTGGGACACGCCTGGTGTGAGGTGTGGTGGGTCAGTGTAGGTGGGACCCCACCCCACATCCCTCAGCCTCAACTCCAAGGTCCCTTCCCAGCCCCCCGCGTGTCCCCGGGTGTCACCTGGGCACCCCCGGAACTCTCGGGCCCCCCCAACTCCCCCCCCGGTGACGCCGTAGCTGTGGCTGGTCTGGGTGAGGAGCGCAGGGGTGGGGACAGCCCGTCCCACATCCCTCAGCTCCTGCCCCTCACCCGGCCCCCCCCCAGGCCCCCGTGCCCCCCGTCCTCACCCTGCTCGAAGATGCGGTAGATGCGGTTGGTCTTGGTGAGCAGGGCGGCGTAGGTGAGGCTCATGCCGAGCCCCAGGAAGAGGCGGCGCAGGGCACAGACGCCCACGCCGGGCTCGGCCACCATGAGGAAGGTGATGGCGTAGACCAGGGCGATGCCGGCCAGCAGGACGTAGCTGAGCTCGCGGCCCGACGCCTTCACGATGGGCGTGTCGTGGTGGCGCACGAAGGTGGCCAGCACGAAGGCCGTGGCCATGAGCCCCAGCGTGGCCAGGGCCACCGGCACCGCGGCGCAGGGGTCTCCCCAGCGCAGGCGCAGCACCGGCGTGGGCCGGCAGGCCGTGCGGTCGGGGGTGGGCCGCAGGTGGGAGGCGCAGGGCAGGCAGGTGAGGGGGTCGGCGCGGTACTGGTACCCCCCGCAGAGCTCGCAGTGCCAGCAGCACGGAACCCCCTTCACCGGCTTCTTGCGCTCGCCGGGGCCGCAGGGCAGGCTGCACACCGAGGGCGGGGGGGACGTCGAGTTGGACCCCCACGCCATGGCCTCCTCCTGGGGGGGACACTGCGTGAGGCCCCATGGACCCCCCCCAAACCCACCGCGGACCCCCCACACGGAGGGCTGCGCACCGGGGAGGGGGGAGACATCGAGTGGGACCCCCCACCACGGCCTCCTCCTGGGGGAGAACGGGGTGAAAGACCCCCCATGGACACCCAAACATCCCATAGACATCCCCATGGACCCCCCCAACCCCCCCATAGACACCCCACCTGCCCAGGGGGAACAGGGGAACACCCCAAGCAGAGCCCCCAGTTGGCCACTGGGATCCCACCAGTTGACTGGGGGGGGGCACCCCTGGGGGAGTTGGGGGGGTTCAGGGGGGTTTTAGGGGTTACGGGGGTTTGGGGGCTCAGGGGTGGGTTGGGGGGGACTCAGAGGGACCGGGGGGGGGTTCAGGGGTCCCACCCTGGGGGTCCCAGCCCCACCTGCAGGCGCAGCCCCTGCACCCACTGCCCCACGGCCCTGTAGGCGCCGGTGCCGTTGCCCCCCTGGAACTGGAAGATGTCGTAACGTCCCGGGGCGTCCCCGTTCTCATTGAAGGACACCGGGGTGCCCGCGCTGCCTGCACACCAGTACGGACCAGTACGGATCAGTGTGAACCAGTACAGACCTGTATAAAGCACTAACCCCCAGTGCCACCCCAGCACCAACGTACCCCCCACTACAGGGCAAACCAGTGTTCCCAGTATGGCCTCCAGTGCCTCCCAGTTCATCACATTAAGGCCCTCAATCCCTCCCAGTGCTCCGCAGTCCCCACCCAGCACTTCCCAGTACATCCCAATAAGGGCCAGTAGGGTTTCCAGAGCCCCTCACTGTGTCCCAGTGTGGCCTTCAGTGCCCCCCAGTCTCCTCCGATGTCCTCCAGTTTGTCCCAGTGTGGCACCCAGTGTGCCCTAGCTCCTTCCCAGTGCCCCCCAGTATATCCCAGTGCCTCCCCGTGCTCCCCAGTACGGTCTCCAGTGTCCCCAGCCCCTCCCAGTGCCCCCCCAGCCCCTCCCAGTGCCCCCAGTACCGTTGAAGGCCACCCTGCGGATGTGGGCGAGCAGCTGGCGGCCGTCGGGGGGGTCCATGCTGGGGCAGAGCCCCCCCCCCGGGCAGGCCTCGCCCAGCAGCGAGTGCAGCCCGTGGGCCATGGCCAGGACGGCGTCGATGACAAACTGCACCTTCCCCTCCTGCTCGTAGGGCGAGTCCCGCCCGATCCGCTCCCGGCCTGGGGGCACGGGGGGGGGGTCAGGGACCCA